AGTAGAGACGGGGTTTCACCATGTTGACCAGGATGGTCTCGATCTCTTGACCTCGTGATCCACCCGCCTCGGCCTCCCAAAGTGCTGGGATTACAGGCGTGAGCCACCACGCCCGGCTCCTCTAGAGTTTTTATGGTGTTAGGCCTCATGTTTAAATCATTACTCCAGCTAGAGTTAATTTTTGTATAAGGTGTAAGGAAGGGATCCAGTTTCAGCTTTTTGCATATGGCTAGCCAGTTTTCCCAACACCATTTATTAAATAGGGAATACTTTTCCCATTGCTTGTTTTTGTCAGGTTTGTCAAAAATCAGATGGTTGTAGTTGTGTGGCATTCCTTCTGAGGCCTCTGTTCTGTTCCATTGGTCTGTATCTCTGTTTTGTACAAGTACCATGCTGTTTTGATTATAGTAGCCTTGTAATAGTTTGAAGTCAGGTAGTGTAATGCCTCCAGCTTTTTTTTTTTTTTTTTTTTTTTTTTTTGCTTAGGATAAATGGTTCCAGGTGGTTGGGTTATAAAACTACCGAGAGGATGGGAGAATATTTACATCTCAAAAGGGCAAAGAGAAAATTTACAATTGAAAGTTTTCTAAAGTGAATATTGTGCTAAAAAAAAGAGGCCTGTCTAAAGTTTAGGAAAACTGAGGGTATTGTTAAGGCTCTCTTGATGTTGGTTAAGGACCTTAAATTCAATGACAGTATCCTTTAAAACATTTCTTTATACTATTAAAACAATTGAACTCATGGACATCAAGAGTAAAAGGATTGTTACTGGGGCTGGGAAGGATAGTAGGGGGTAGGGGAAGGTAGGAATGGTTAATGGGTACAAAAATAGTTTGAATGAATATGACCTACTATTTGATAGCACAACTGGGTGACTATAGTAAACAGTAACTTCATTGTACATTTAAAAATAACTTAAAAAGTATAATTGGATTTTTTATACCATGAAGGATAAATGCTGCAGGGGATGTATAACCCATTCTCTATGATGTGACTATTATGCATTGCATGCCTGTATCAAAACACCTCACATACTTTATAGATATATACACCTACTGTGTACCCACAAAAGTTAAAAATAAAAAAGTTAAATGTCATTATAGAAACAGAAAGGTAAAGGACACATAGGGTCATAGAAGGAAAAGGTCATGGGGAGATAGAGAAAGAAGGAGTGAAGTCTCTACAAGCCTAGGAATACCAAAGACCCAACAGTCACTAGAAGCTAAGAATGGCAAAGAATAAATTTTCCCCAAAAACTTCTGGAGTATCCAAGGCTGCTAACACTGATATAGCATTTGTAGCCTCCAGAACTACGAGAGAATGAATTTCTGTTTATCTAAGCCTTCTAGTTTGTGGTAATTTGTAAAAGTAGCCCTAAAAAAATAGTATATGATCTTTCTAGAAAAGTCTTTCTCTACTGTTCATTTAACTTCAAATGGCAAAATTCTACAACTCATTTAATGCTGACAAAATTGTCTAGTCCTCCATTCCTTTTCCTTATAATTGATAATACCAGCTAAACACCACAGCTTTTTCCTCTGAATTCTTTTGACAATGAAGATGATAACAATATTGCAGCTAAAACTTGTTTAGTGTTTGATTTATGTCTAATACCTCTTTATTCCGTGTGAAAACAGAATAAAGCAGGTGCTATTATTTTTTCAATATTAAGGATGAAGAAACTGAAGAACAGAGGGATTTAATAACACTAAGTGGTAGAACCAAAATTTGCTTTGAGATTTGCCTAAGTACAGAGCCCATATGCTTAGATATTTTATATTTCTTTTCTGTTCCTATCCTTGAATGTTTACTTCTCTCATGTCTCATTATCTTTCATTATATTCTCTATACATTTTTATTTTCTAGCACAAAATTGAACTGAAGTAACTAAGAAATCACAGATATATAAGCATATTCATTTATTTTTCCCATTTTAAAGGTCTTTTAATATTATGTTGTCTACATTTTTTTTCAAACACTTCTTGTTCAAGAAAAAATTTAGGCAATTTGCTTGAATAGTTTTAACCTTAAAATCATTTTAAGATTCTGTTGTATTTATCTATTTACAGCATTTGGCAGATTTCTTTGAGTATCAAAACTGCCCAAATTTCACTGAATGAATTTAGTTAAACCAACTGTCAGCCCCTACATGTCCCCCACTTTAACAGCTTTCTAAGATCGTATTTTCCTTTAATACAGTACTTTAATAGAATGGCTAAAGGCCCTATTCTGAATGCATTAAGAAGCTCAGTGCTTTTCTGCCACACAATGTTTCTGACTATTATTAACTTGGGAGAGGGCTCCATTTTCCACGCTTGCCTGTCACTTCCATTGTTTTCTTTTGAACTCCTGCCATCAACTCTACTCTCAACGCGTCTCCTGAGATTGCCCTCCATTTGCCATATTGGATACTACTCCACTAACGCAAGAGTGTTGTATGATAGACTCTTACTGATGACTTGGAAAATAAAGGGTATTAAAGCATATCATAGTTTTCATTTACTCATTTAATCATTCAGCAAATACACAAACATTCATTGACTATCTAGTGCCACTGTGTTGGGTACTGAGGAAACAATGGTAAGAAAATGGGTAAAATCTCCATGATCATGTAGCTCATACTCTAGCAGGAAATCATAAAACTCACACAGCGACATGATAAATGTAAAATTACAAATTGAAGTATAAGGAAAGGAAATGTTCATAGTAGATTGATAGCCATAGTAATGGGCTTGAACTGAGAGCTGAAGTGTGAGTAGGCATTAACCAGTCCCACAGCAGGGACAGAGAAAGAAGAAAGGCATTAGAGAAAGAAATGACAGCATGTGAAAACAAGCAACAGTGGGCTGGTACAACATACATTCCAGCAACTGCAAGAAAGCCTCTGCATTAGGGATGCGTAGACCCAAGCAAATAAAGGAAAGAAAGATATCTGGAAAAACCAGCCAAAACCACTTTAATAAATGCACAGTCTACTTCGAGCTTTCCTTAAAAATGTAATCTTAATCTTAAAGCTAATGGAAAAATAATGAACAGTTTGATGTAGGAGATTGACATGATCCACTTTGTATTTTGAAAAAAATTCTGGCTACTGTATAGAGACAAGAGTAAAGCAGGTAAGGAATGATGGATGCAGGAATTCTGAACATGAGGCCTTCGTCCAGGTAAGAGATTATGGTGGCTTGGCCTAGGCAAGTGATGGTGGAGATGAAGCTAATTGGGAAGGTTTGAGAAGACTTTAGTGCAGTGTGGACCAACAGAACCTGATGAAATAAGTGTCAAGAATGTAGAGTACACTGGAATGGAAAAGGCAGAAGCCAGAAAAAAATGAGTTCCAGTCTTAAAAATTGACTACACTTTTTTGACTATGGAAATTTCTCACTGGCTGCCTCTTTTTAGGCTCTTCCCTAAGACTTTCTCCTTTACGCCCACTTTCCCACCCTCAAAACCACCTTCTGTCACTGTCTTACTACTTTACATATTAGTGGACTCACACAGTTTCTTCATAATAACTTTAATAATACAATAATTATGTGGATAATTTAACACTAAGTCTCCCTTAGTTTGAAGCCCAGCTTTGTTCTGCTAACAATTTCATTGAATTATGCTAGTCTGTCTACCATAATTCCACCCTTAGTAATACGAAGACTTTGGAAATGTATTGAAATCACATCATTTCTCATCATCTCTTAGAGAAAATCTTTATGCTTAGGTTTCCACTAGAACTTCCAGGGTTGTGGAGCTTTGTATGGGGTTGGGCACTTTGATCATCCTATATGTCATGTCCTACCCTCAAAAGTATCACTTTTACTGGCCCAAGATGGCTTACAAAACCTAAAAGCTAACATACTGTAGTCTACACAAAGTAAATACTTCATGTTAACAATGAAGAATCAAAATGCTTGGTAATAAATTATGACTTACAATTCTATTTCTGGGGAATAGGAATACGTATACCTAATGTTGGATTTGTTCTTGTGCTCTTTTGAAGGAAACATCCTACTGTATCAGAAATTCCCATGGTACCACATCCAGATTTCTTCACCAAGGCAGATAAAGAGTTGGCAAAAATCATTGACCATCACGTAAGACTGATTTTTTTAACTAGCAGCAAAAGCTTTGTTCTTTAAAGGCACTTTAAATTATAATATGCAGTTCTGAGACTGAAACCTTAATATGTGGAATTTAAAACTAGAGCCACGATTGATTTGCCAAACTGAATCATATCTCACTATGTTATCTATACACCTTAGTGTCTTCATCGGGTTACAGAAAATTTGGCCTTCTGTCATTTGTAAAATACTAGCCTAATCCTGTTTTCTGAATTAGTACTGATTTATTGTGACAAGAGTCTTATATTGAATGCTGAACACTGATTTCTTCTGCAGTGTAGTTCTAATAACAGAACAGAAATCTTTTGGCTCAATTTTCAGTGACCGTTCTTTACCCTTGACAGATCAGAAAGACTGTTAATCACTTTGTTCTTAGCATAAGTAAAAAAAAGCAGTGGCAATACAAGGCCACAGAAGACACTTCAATTCATTGTGCTATTTTTAATTGATAATTTTTTTTTACCAAATATCAGTTATTTTATGTCCAGTTCTTTTTAGGAGCAGAATTGAAGTATGAGAGAAAATACTTATTTTTTTTCTTTAAATAAGCTATATAGCGTTTTTAAATAAACTATATAGTGTTATGTGCTTAATTTTATTACTAGTAGTTCAATATTATCTATCAGATTGTGATTATATTAATAATTTTTTCACATTACTTTTAAGTAGTAATCTTGTGAAGAGATTATTTTATTTAGTGATCACATTAAATAGTTTTTACCACATAGCTAGTAATTAAGCCACTCTAGCAATAGCTATAAGTATTGGGCTTTGAAGACTGACTGATACCTTGAAATCACGAAATAAGAGCAGCAATATCCTATTATTCACTAACAAAATTTTGAGAAACTAATATATGTATAGGCCATCTTCAAAAATTTCAAATGTTTTATAAATTTCAACATCTATATTTTCCTAGTCATTAAATCAACTAAGTAATGTAGAAGGGATTTTAAGAGATAGCAACTTGCCAACATTACACACACACATATATAAATAACCACTTTGGGCTGTCTAGGGCTAAAGAGACAGAGGAAAGTATTATGAATAACAGAGACACAGAGGTATCTCCTAAGAGCTGTCCATCCTCTTTTCCTTTTTCTAAGGGTATAAGCATTATCCAAGTAATCACTGCCATGGGCCTGCTTATATTGTAGCTAAAGAAGGATAAAGAAATCCTTTTTGAAAATATGCTTGAAAACTTATAGATCCAAATTGTTTGATGTGTGGCTAGCCTAACGAACTAGTACTTCATAGTATTGATTTTGGAAGGTTTATTGAAGTATCTCTGAATATTATATTTTTTCAATATTCATGTATATACCACTGCTTTTCAGATGGGCATAGCAATAGTGCTTTGTACTTATATTTTACGCTTTGCAAAATGCTCTTACGTTAGTTAATTTAATCCTCACAACCCTATATAACATTTACCAATAAGAAAAACAAACACTTGTTTACAATTCAGTTACTTGCTCAATGTTTTAAGTAAATGATGGAGCCTATGCACAAAAACAGATTTCCCTACTCTAAATCTAGCTTCCCTTCTACTTTTTCATAGCTGCTCAAGTTCTTGGCTTATAACTCCTAATCAGAATTAGAGATGGGAGGGTGGGATTTCTAATATTGACAAAGAAGAACAAAAGCACATTTCCTTAGCTACAGATATTAATTCTCCTTCTAATCCAACATACTTTTATTGAGGGGTTATCATATGTAGGAAATAGAAAATATACCTCCTTGCTCAGGAGATATTAAGGTACCTTAAACATTGCTAGTATTCCATAGCATGATCACTGAATCACTGAGTGAGTAAGTTGAATAAATCAGTAAATGGTGCCTCCATTTCCCACCAATTTCAAACATATCCATTTTTTTTTTTTTTTTTTGCATCCTCCTAGCTACCACAACAGACAATAATAATGACAGATAAGGTCAAGAAAATACAATTCTTTACCCAAATTGAACTGTTGTCATGGTCAGCAGAGACAAAAACAAAGTATGCTTTTTCCTAAGCCTAATGAAAAGAAGGAGTTTGACATTATGGTGAATTTCAGCCATTCCAAATTCTAAGAAGGGGGAGAGGCGGAAAAACTGTCTTCTGGACAGTGATGATAAGATGCCCCTTTTTGGCTGCTTTTATATGTATCGATGCTTTTATACATGCTGTTTGTGAAACCAAGAATTCTATTTTACTGGCAGTTCTAAAGAATTAGTTCTCTTTTGATTTTTCAGAATTTAAGAAACAAAATCATGAGACCCATTGAAATCTTTCTTTTTTCTTTTTTTTTCAACTAATGTAACTTTTATTATGACAAAATTTCAAACAGATACAAATGAAGACAATGGTATAATCACTAACTCACCTCTCCCACATACCAACGACCTAGATTAAATAGATATGCACATTTCATACAGGATAGATTAGTTCTCTTTGTTTACAGATACTGTCATTGTTATACCAACTATAACTTCTATGCTAATAAAATTGATAATTTTCTTAAACAACTAGATTAGTTTATTATGTGAGAAAAATAATGTGTCATAGTTATCATAGAACCTATAGACAAAACCATAGCATGAATTTCAGCCTGTGCCTGAATGTTCTGGACGTTTTGTCTTAAATTTCCATATATTTTATGCAAAACTGGTTCCTGAGAAACCAAACATATGAGTAACAAGTGTGTATAAATACAATCTTAAGATAAGTCCAGTTAACTTTTGTATTTCTTATGTAATTAAAACTTAACTGGGAATAAATAATGGATTTGATACTGTGCTTTTATTTGTCATGTTTACTCTAATATGAATATATTAACATTTTACAAAATTTTACTGTGTTCATCAAAGCTGAGTGACATGCTATGGACTCTGATGCTTAGTTCTGCTTTTTATTATATGAATATCCCATATGACAAATGTTATTTGTGATTCACAGTACTTGTATATATAGTAATCTATAAATTAATTGATAGGTTGCTAATCTCAGACTGATCATTTGTGTATATTCATGACCTGAAGGTGACAAAAACACAGCATTGGCAGTCTTTGGAAAAGACTGAATTGGCAGTCAATATTGGAAAATCCTTAGGAATTTTCAATATTTCATACCAGGAGTCATTCTGCCCCAAATGTTTTACCCAGTGTAAAGTGTTTACTACCTGTTTGCATCATTTCCTCCATCAAATATATTAGAAGTATATATATTTTTTCATGATGATGTTTCACTGATTATTATTACTTACAATACTGTGACTCATTCTTAGGGCTCTTGCCTTCAGATACACTACTATTTACATGACAGCATGGGTTATAAAGTGAAAAGCTAAGTGAAAGCAAAATAGAAAAATTATCTTGGCCAATAAGATACATTCTTTAGAGGTGTTTTTATTGGTCTTCTGCATAGTCTGCATTTACCTAATAATTTCATTTTCAGCTTCCTATGGGGAATACTATTAGAGTTTTGGCCTTTCTCTTTAGTTTGTATTTTCTGTATTTTTTCTTTCTGTTTTGCTTTCATTTGGCTCTTCATTGTATAACTCATACTGTCATATAAATACCAATATTGGTGAAGAAAGTAAAACTATTTGGAAGGTAGAAATATAAAACCTATAATGTCTTATTTTGAATGTTTTTTTAATCTTTAAATACATTAAGGAAGTTCTATTTTGTGGGACTTACATGCATTCTAATAGGTGACACATATGTTTTACCAGTGAGATAGATAAAAATTTTTTGAGGAATGTCATGGAAAAAAACAAAGAGGATAATTGTATGTAAGAATCTGCATTTTCCGCAGCTAAACTGATATCCATTTTTTCATGGAAAATCATATGTGGATGACGTTTTCTCTCTGTTAACAGTGGCAGGAAGAGCTGAAGATCCGCAAAGAAGAAGATGCAATATGCAAGGCCCAAGAACTTGAAGATAAGAAGTTAGAAGAGAAAATTCACTTTCAAGAAGTTATGAAGAAAAGAGAAGAGAAACTACATAAGCAAACCAAACCCTATGAGCTTCCTCATAGAAGTAGCTTAATTAGAAAAGAAAATGCTACCCCCCAAAACTGAGGTCAAAAATACATAGCATGAAAAATACCAAGATAGCTACATAGTAAGAGAACTTTCTTGTAATTAACTTGAGGTATTGTATAGAAGAACTTGTTATCCTGATACAAACTATTTAATAGTTATTTCTTAGTTCTCAATTAATGACCAACTTAATCACACTTGAATGAAGTGATTTCACTAGTCAAAACTTTCCAATACTACATCTAGTATTTTTCTCAATTGACATTTATCTCATTGTACAGCACATGTAATAACTGATTCTCAGAACGCTGATATTCATCAAACAGTTTGATGGAAATTAACTACAAGTTAATTAATAAGTCACCATATAAAAATTGTTTCTTGAAAACAGAATGAACATAAGCTAACACTCCTATAATTACTATTATTCAAATAAAAACATTATGGCATCTTATGTGATTGTCATTTTATAGTCAATTTATTCCAAACCAAACAAACCCTATTTCAGAGATTTAAATACAGAAGGGCCAGTCATTTTAGACTGACTGATCTTTAACCAATGCCAGAGGGGACTCCTGAGAGACAGTGGTTTTACTGTGTTCTGTGAGTTTATAAGAATAAATCTGTATGATCCTAGAAAGTCCAGGAGCAACTGTTGAAGAGATTCATACAAATAGGAGTCATTTTAGAAATGGAACTCACCTCATCTGAAGTTCTGAAACTATGAGTAAGAGTAATAGGGTGGAGTTTTTATGATGTCTTGTATTCCTTTCCTGAAAAATACAAATAATATTCACATCTCAGTTTCACACAGGTGACTTGATGATACTCAAGAGACAAGAACTTTAACAGGGGTGTCAAATTCAAATGACTACCAAGTCAAAAAGGTAACATAAATTAGTGAAGCCAGCTAAGGAATACCTATCCCATCTAAAGAAATTTCCCAGCTGGGCACGGTGGCTCACACCTATAATCCCAGCACTTTGGGAGGCTGAGGCAGGCAGATCATCTGAGGTCAGGAGCTTGAGACCAACCTGACCAACATGGAGAAACCCTTTCTCTACTAAAAAAAGTACAAATTTAGCCGGGCGTGGTAGTGCATGCCTGTAATCTCAGCTACTCAGGAGGCTCAGGCAGGAGAATTGTTTGAACCTGGGAGGTGGAGGTTGTGGTGACCCGAGATCGAGCCACTGCACTCCAGTCTGGGCAACAAGAATGAAACTCTGTCTCAAAAAGAAAAGAAAAGAAATTTCCCACCACTCAGTTACATTCTAAAATGTGTATCAGTATTTTATAATCATCCAGTCTTTCAAGAAGCTTTTAAATGGGACTATTTTTCAAAAGTAGCTAAATACCCAAATGTTGGCAACTAATTTTTTAATAACATATCTTCAAGTTTAGTTTGATACATGGGCCAAAGTATGTGACCTACATTATGTGAATTCAGGTATCAGTCTTCGTTTAAGATGACAATCACATATGGCAGAAAAATCTTGTGTGTAGTTTCCTGTTTTGATTCCCTGTATAGCTAATTCAAACTTATGTTTCTCTTTCCAAACCTTTTGTATTAACCTTGTGTTCTCAAACAGAGACTATGCAGGTTCCTAGAAATACCTTTCAATACACCTTTCCAAATACCTTCATCCATCCATCTTTGCTTTCTTCACTTGTCGAAAAAAAAAAAAAAATTCTCTATAAGACCAGCCAGTCCCCTTTCTCCAAATCTCATCCCTTCCAAAATCTTGTTCCATCAACTATTCACTCTCTCGTCCTAAGTCTTTCCTCATCACTCATTCCTAAATCCATGGAAGTTTCAATTTTCTCCCATTCTTCCATCCAAATTACTCTCTCATTATTGGTTTGTAGCAAGATATAACAACTAAGCTGTAAGTATTAGTAAGGGTACAATGGAGATCTAACTGCTCCTTATAAGAATTTCAACAAATCCTACTGCTTCAGCACCATCTTTATAAAAGAAACCTGATATCTCCAATTTCAGAAACTTTCTAGCATTCTGAGGCATGGTCCTTAAGGCATCCTCACTGCAGACCTAGGTTTATGTTTTCTCTGCTCTGCTTAGCCTATTTCTACTTGTTCATCTTCTTTTTTACTTCCACAATGTTATTAATACTTCCAACGTGCTAATATCTCTTCTTCTTGTGGATTCATGCCTTTTTACAAGTAACCCTTTTTATGTCAGAGTGGTGATTTGGAAGGGAGCTAAACAAATTTTATACACAGATACACGGAGAAAGAAAGAAAAGGGGAGAGAGAGAGATGATTAATCAAAATACACCTTTAATTCTTAAATTATTTTTTAAAATTCTTAACATTTGGCAACACGCATCTCTCATGGTCTTTCTCCTATTTCGCTGATTCTTTCTGCAATATTAGCAAAGACACACTCTAGTTATGCCTTCTGCCAGCTAAGAAACAGTAGGCAAGTTACTGAACCCATTTTCACTTTTGTTTACTCATTTATAAAATTGACACAATTTATGTAAAGAGTGGTATCAGAAGCTAATTAGGAAAGAAAACAAACTTATCAGTCATTTTAACAGAGAATTTAATGTAAGAAATTATCTTCAAAGGTGTTAGAGAACTGAATAAATGGAAAGGGGACATAGCAATAACACAGAAACAATAACTGCAGGAAGCTGCCAACCACATTTGGAGCCACGGAATCAGAGAGAAGAGGTTTGCATTGTGAGACTCTAAGGCATGCGGAAGGCACTTCACACAGCTGAACTCGGAACCCTGATGGGGAGAAATTGCCCAGCTCTTGCTGGTAATTCTGAGGGGGCATAAAACAACTAGTTCTGGGAGTGCAGAAAAAAATGAAAACTGTAACAACTTGTATCTTGCTGAAACCACACTATCAGGAAGGGTGGGAAAACTGGAAGAATCAAGTGTTTTCTTCCCTCTCATCCTGAAACTCTTTCTCATGTGCTTCCTGTTTTCTAGCATCACAAAGCAGAGAAAACAAGGGTGGGTTTTGAAATCAAAGACGCTAGTTAAATAACTGAACATTGTATGGCTTAGAACATATCAGACCATACAATAAAAGTTAACTCTCCCTTCTTTTCCTTTGCATCTTAGGCCCTGTTTTCTGCTTATTCTGCAAGATTTCCCAGGGGGGAATAAATGTTTAAAAGAAAGCATCATCTCTTAAGTTGATATAAATGGCTTAAAAATAAACTTTACTAATTTATTTTAATAACTAATCCTTAATTCTTCCAACAAGTTCTTTTAACACAAATTCAATTGAAATTCTTTGTAATTTATGTTTAGTATTCACTTTGCTTCAAAACTCACAAAGGATTCTATGAGTCACAGACTGGTTTGGGTCCCAGAAAAATTATTTCAGCTACTCTCTTGTTGTTCAGCTTGTGATTTCTCAGCCTTAGTTATTTATTTTTCCATTCTTCCCACTGTGAGTTGATAGGAGAAAGACAGAGAAAGAGAAAGAGTCTCCATATCTATCTACCTTGCACAGCTTAGTCACCTTTAAGTGCCTCTACTGTTAAAAAGTGTTAACCTTTTCGGGTCTAAATGTCTTCCTATTTAAAACTTATTTTCATGCTGCTTTATCACTTATGCTTATGTTTATTTTGAAAAAATAAACCCAAGACTGCCTACATTTATTTAGTATGGATTCTCCATAGATTTCTCTCAGTAACCACCAAAGCAATTTCTCTTTCACACCTGCTGCCTCATTGAGAATACTCATAAAACTTGTTAGGTAGTTTCACTAGAGTATTAGAATACTGGAGTAAATTCTGAGTAACACAAGAATGAACATGATCATTTCTCCTGACATAATTTATTTTTTTAAAAAGGAAAGCAAATGATTTACAGTGGTTTGTGGAGCATAACAAAAAGACATTTAAGGAAGAAAATATGTAAAACAAATATCCTGACTTATGCATTGATAAGTGGGTGTTTGGAGAAAGGGAGCGCACAGAGGTAACAGATGAAAATAACTCACACCAACAGTTTTAGGAAGTCCATAGTGATGTTTAACAATTGTAATTTAAGTAATTGATTCTTCTGCTCCTACCAGTAAAACCTTCTCTGTAACTGTTTACTAGTTAGTTGTTTTCTGAGTGTCCTTTTTCATATTGCTTCTAGTTGAAAACAACAGTTGTATGGTTTTTCTGAACTTGGCTTTCAAATTTCAGTTATCTGATTGGGAATTGCTTTGGGGTCGCTTTCAAACTTTGTCCAACTGCTCGCATACTAAGTGCTCACTTTGGGTCTGCCAGTGATTCTCAATTAAAATCACCATAGGTCTCCTGAAGCTTCTTCATTCTGCCTCACATCTTAATTTGCTGAAGTAAAATGAATAAGAACACCCCTATTTGTCTTATTTGTGATTAATTGATGACACTTGTCACCTCCTCTGTGGGCTAAATAATACAAAGGAAGGCAGAGTCATGAAAATCTGTTGTGCCAATGCCTCTGTAGAAAAGACGTGTAGTAACAAATTCAGTCCACACGGTACTTCTCAACCTCAGGTTGGCCACTGGAGACTAAGTATTTGTAGCCTCCTTGTACTGATTCTATATTTTCTGTGATATACAGAATGCGTTTGGAAACTTATAGCAAAATGCATTTTAAAATATCATCTTCTATAATGTAAATGTATATATCTGTATAGTCTTACAAATTCTGTTGATGACTTGGTTACTTTTCTGCTACACGCATTTTTCATGGTGACATACATTTCAAGGATAATTTGGCTTTAACGTTACTCCTGCTCACTTTCTCCTCCAATCATTTTAGCTAAGGGACCTATTTACATAATACCAAGTACCTTATTTTTTTTTCCTGTTTCACTGAAAAGCCAAAATAAAAATAAAATGTCTTTCCAAAACATTTTTTAGTTGGAGGATCCCTGTGATATCCAACTTTCCAATAAAATTTCCCAAGCTGACTCTATTTTGGAAAGGTGGTGGATCATCTTTTATAAATTAATGAGTAAGGTAAAAGTCAAACATCTCAGAATCACTACTGCAGCTTTTTCATCCATAGCCAGACTATTGTCAATCAGTAATGCTTTGAATGTTGCATCAAAACATGAAGAAATAGAAAATCTGGACAAACCAATCTGTTAATCTCTAGCTCCAGATTTTTGCTTGGCTTCCCAATAAAAAACTTCCTAAAAGAAATGACTAGAGGACACATATGGTACAGTTTCTTCCATAGCATATATTCTCCAACATGATAACTAGGTCCCAAGACTTGTGGCCTTATGGGAAGGTAAGTCTTAAGGAAGAAAAGACTCAACCTATTCCAAGCAGAGACATTGTGGAGGGTAAAAAAAGTTGGTGAGAAAGGTAGATTTAAGGGTGCTTGGTGCCCTCACCCTTTACCTCAGGAGAAGGGGTGTGGTCTAGAAATGTAAATAAGTAAGGAGCCTGAGTCTGACAGGTTAGTCGCATTAGCTCCTGC